GGGGTGGAAGGGTGTGGGGTTGGAGTGAGGGGTCCTTGGGTTGGAGTGAGGGGTCCTTGGGTTGGAGTGGGGGGTCCTTGGGTTGGAGTGGGGGGTCCTTGGGTTGGGTGTGTTGTTGGAGAAGGACGGTTCAAAATACAGGGCCAGTCTCACCTTCACAGAAAGGGTTACTCGGCCCCTTCCCGAGCTGCTTCTGAGGGCCTGCACGGGGACACAGATCCCTAAAGGACATCCCCACGTTTTCTTGATTGGTGGCCACTTCGCTGCATTTTTTTATATAGTTACTGTATTTATTTATTTATTTATTTATTCCTTTTTTATTCAGCAGCAAAGAAAGCCAACAGGATGCTGGGCTGCGCCAACAAGGGCATCACCAGCAGAAGTAAAGAAGTCACCATCCCACTCTACTCAGCGTGTGTCAGGCCACACCTGGGATCCTGTGCTCAGTTCTGGTCTCCGCAATACAAGAAAGATCCAGGCAGACTGGAGAAGGTCCAGAGAAGGGCCACAAAGATGATCAAAGGACTGGGAAGCCATAGGAGGAAAGGCTGAGAAAACTAGGTTTGTTCAGCCTTGAGAAAAGAAGGCTTAGGGGAGACCTTCTCACCACGTTCCAGTACTTAAAGGGTGACTACCAAGTAGTCGGAGAATCTCTTTTTACAAGGAGTCACGAAGAAAAGAGGGGTAAAGGATGCAAGTTACTCCTTAGGAGATCCTGATTGGGTCATTATGAAAAATCCATTTTTCAGTATGAGAACAGTTGGACATTGGAATAATCTGCCCAGGAAATAGTGGATTCCCCAACACTGGACACTTTTAAGACTCAGTTTGGCAAGGAGCTGGGTCATCTCATCTAAACCATGTTCCTGCCTTGAAAGGGTGGGCTAGATGATCCTTGAGTTCTCTTCCAATCTAGCAGTCTATGATTAACTCTACAGAATTACTATATTTTTCTCAGGTGGCTGGAACACCTCTCCTACAAAGATAGGGTGGGGCTGTTCAGCCTGGAGAAGAGTAGGCTCCAGGGAAACCTCCAAGTAGGCTTCCAGTACCTGAAGGGGCTACAGGAAAGCTAGGGAGGGACTTTTTTCAAGGGCTTGTAGTGAGAGGACAAGAGGTAATGGATCAAATCTTGAAGAGGGGAGATTTAGGGGTAGATATTAGGAGAAAATTCTTTAGTGTGAGGGTGGTGAGACACTGGAACAGGTCACCCAGGGAAGTTGTGGATGCTCCATCCCTGGAAGTGTTTAAAACCAGGTTGGATGGTGTCTTAGAGCAACCTGATCTAGTGGGAGGTGTCCCTGCCCATGCAGGGGGTTTGGAACTAGGTGATCTTTAAGATCCCTTCCAAACCAAACCATTCTATGATTCTGTAATGATTCTATGAACAAGCCTGGTTGGTTCTGCAGCAAGGTGGGGAGAGTGCTGTATACCTGTTCCCTGGCTGGTGGTTGTCTGTTGGGATATTAAAGAAGATGCAGACAGAAGTGCAGTGTGTTGACTCTTCCTTTAGTTTTCCCCAACCCAAAATAGTGGGACTCCAAGCTACTTTCAGGCTAAAATACTTGTGTTGGAGATGAAGCCTTCAGCTTTGAGTAGGGCTTCTGGCAGATATGGTACCAGATGCTGAAATTAGTCATGTTGTGGCTTTAGAACTTACGAACTGCAGAATTTGTAAATTTTATCAGCCTGACCCTGTGTCACGATCCGGTATTCGGATACGTGGCAATTTTTTATAAAGGTGATCCCAACTGGTGAAATTAAGACGCAAACGAGGTCAGATGCACGTGCACAACAAACTTTTATTAGAGTAACAGAGCAAAGGTCCCTAGAGCGGATAGGACAGGCAGGAAAACAGAGACAGAAAAGAGAGGAGAAAGCAGAGAGATAGAGGACAGCAAGCGAGAGAGCATAGTTACCACCCAGGGTGCAGCGATGTCGTCGGTGGGGAAGTGGTTCCTGGTAGAAGAGTACTTCTTCTTTGTCTTCTTCTTCTTCCATAGAGTCCCAGACTTTTATACAGTTCTTGCCCACTGCCCCCTCACTTTTCTTTCCAGAGTAGGGAAAAACTCCTATCTTCTCCGTGCTCCTCCAAGATAGCAGGGGGGGTAGGTATGGCACCAGGTTAAGTCCTGCAGATAGTCTTTGTTTGGATAATTGCTGGGGTCTGCATAACGAAGGGGAGGATGAAACGACTGGCACCACAGGTTTAATTTATTGCAGGGGAGTATCCTGCTCCCAGAGCCAGCTGCAGATCTCTTTAGTCCATCAACAAATGTTATTTCTCAGATGCCACAAGACACACAATAGATATCTTGAGTGCCAGAGTTCATCACTTAATCTCTTGGATTGTTCGAGACAAACGCTGTAAATTCTGAATGCCACACCTGTTTAAAAGACTGTCTTGGTGGTATTTAATAGAATATTTTGTTCGGTGTCTCCAAGTGTGTTTTACTTGCCCATGAACTTCCTCGTTCTTCCCAGCTGTGTTTTTAGTTGAAATGAATCACTTCTGCTGATGTGGCAGCACGGAGAGAGAAGTTTACACAAACACTTGACACTTGCCACAGAGGAACTGCCAGTCAGTCCACGAAAAACAACATGAGTTCATGGTGTTATTTTTCTAGCATTTTCCAGAACTGTTCACTCCTCCTTTTGTCTGACTTCCTGCTTCAATTTAACAAAACAAGGAGTCCACTTCAATTTAGTGAGAACAGCAAAAGCTGCTGAAAAAACACTGGAAATCATATATTTTTGGTATGCTTTGGTGCTTCTCCTAAAGCACTGTAGTAGTAGGAAGTCAGTAGTTTGGTTTTTTTTTTTAAAAAAAAAAAAAAAAAAGAAGACTTAAAAAAAACCACTTTTTTTTTTAAAAACTGAGCAACAGAAATAAGACCAAACTCTTCTTTAAAATAATAAAGAGGCTTCAGCCGTTTTTCCTCTGAGCCCCTTAGAAAAACCTGCCCCAGCTGACAATAGTCACACATGTAAAATAGCTCACAATTTCAACTCTATCCAGGGCTTGAGGTGAAACAGGCTGCAAAAACCCCCCTCAAACCTGACTCAAAATGAGCAAAATCCCTGGGCTGGGTCTGAATTGAGAAGAGCCAGCAGAAATACACTTAAACATGCTGCCATAATCTCCTGTTTAGTGAGAAGCAGATAAAATTCCATTACTGGACAGTGACAGTCAAGCACTGCCTGGATGCTGCTTTAACCCTTGCTTTCAGCCACCACACCCTGTCATGCTGAAATGTAATTTCTGTTCTGTTTCGAGTGGCCATTTTCTGTAGTGAATGGTCAGTTCCTATGTTCTTGGGTAAGAGAGAAAAAATAAGATAACATTGACTTTCTGGAGAGAAAAACATGTTTAGATGTGGGGAGGAAGGAAGACACAGGTTAGATATCTAACCTGTGTAGGTAATAAAGTGTATGTGCCCTGTTGTTAAAGGACATCCCCACGTTTTCTTGATTGGTGGCCACTTCGCTGCATTTTTTTATATAGTTACTGTATTTATTTATTTATTTATTTATTCCTTTTTTATTCAGCAGCAAAGAAAGCCAACAGGATGCTGGGCTGCGCCAACAAGGGCATCACCAGCAGAAGTAAAGAAGTCACCATCCCACTCTACTCAGCGTGTGTCAGGCCACACCTGGGATCCTGTGCTCAGTTCTGGTCTCCGCAATACAAGAAAGATCCAGGCAGACTGGAGAAGGTCCAGAGAAGGGCCACAAAGATGATCAAAGGACTGGGAAGCCATAGGAGGAAAGGCTGAGAAAACTAGGTTTGTTCAGCCTTGAGAAAAGAAGGCTTAGGGGAGACCTTCTCACCACGTTCCAGTACTTAAAGGGTGACTACCAAGTAGTCGGAGAATCTCTTTTTACAAGGAGTCACGAAGAAAAGAGGGGTAAAGGATGCAAGTTACTCCTTAGGAGATCCTGATTGGGTCATTATGAAAAATCCATTTTTCAGTATGAGAACAGTTGGACATTGGAATAATCTGCCCAGGAAATAGTGGATTCCCCAACACTGGACACTTTTAAGACTCAGTTTGGCAAGGAGCTGGGTCATCTCATCTAAACCATGTTCCTGCCTTGAAAGGGTGGGCTAGATGATCCTTGAGTTCTCTTCCAATCTAGCAGTCTATGATTAACTCTACAGAATTACTATATTTTTCTCAGGTGGCTGGAACACCTCTCCTACAAAGATAGGGTGGGGCTGTTCAGCCTGGAGAAGAGTAGGCTCCAGGGAAACCTCCAAGTAGGCTTCCAGTACCTGAAGGGGCTACAGGAAAGCTAGGGAGGGACTTTTTTCAAGGGCTTGTAGTGAGAGGACAAGAGGTAATGGATCAAATCTTGAAGAGGGGAGATTTAGGGGTAGATATTAGGAGAAAATTCTTTAGTGTGAGGGTGGTGAGACACTGGAACAGGTCACCCAGGGAAGTTGTGGATGCTCCATCCCTGGAAGTGTTTAAAACCAGGTTGGATGGTGTCTTAGAGCAACCTGATCTAGTGGGAGGTGTCCCTGCCCATGCAGGGGGTTTGGAACTAGGTGATCTTTAAGATCCCTTCCAAACCAAACCATTCTATGATTCTGTAATGATTCTATGAACAAGCCTGGTTGGTTCTGCAGCAAGGTGGGGAGAGTGCTGTATACCTGTTCCCTGGCTGGTGGTTGTCTGTTGGGATATTAAAGAAGATGCAGACAGAAGTGCAGTGTGTTGACTCTTCCTTTAGTTTTCCCCAACCCAAAATAGTGGGACTCCAAGCTACTTTCAGGCTAAAATACTTGTGTTGGAGATGAAGCCTTCAGCTTTGAGTAGGGCTTCTGGCAGATATGGTACCAGATGCTGAAATTAGTCATGTTGTGGCTTTAGAACTTACGAACTGCAGAATTTGTAAATTTTATCAGCCTGACCCTGTGTCACGATCCGGTATTCGGATACGTGGCAATTTTTTATAAAGGTGATCCCAACTGGTGAAATTAAGACGCAAACGAGGTCAGATGCACGTGCACAACAAACTTTTATTAGAGTAACAGAGCAAAGGTCCCTAGAGCGGATAGGACAGGCAGGAAAACAGAGACAGAAAAGAGAGGAGAAAGCAGAGAGATAGAGGACAGCAAGCGAGAGAGCATAGTTACCACCCAGGGTGCAGCAATGTCGTCGGTGGGGAAGTGGTTCCTGGTAGAAGAGTACTTCTTCTTTGTCTTCTTCTTCTTCCATAGAGTCC